CCCTCTCTCTTCCTCTCTCTCTCCCTCTCTCTCATATACACACACCCTGTTCCCAGCTCGGCCCGCTCTCCCAGTTTAGGCCCAACTTCTCCCTCCTCGTCCGGATCCGCGATCCGCGTGGGCCTGTGTCCCGGACTTCTCTGCCCACGCCGCGCGGTTTGGGAAGTCCCAACTCTTATCCTTCCCTGCCTTCCCCTGCTGTTCCGGAGACTTTGCCTCCAGGCCGGGACTCCCTGGTCCGGGGTGCTCTGCCCTGTCCAGGTTTCCTGCCACCCACCTACCCAGGAGCTCTGGGAAAGTCCCAGAGCCCTGTACCCCTGGGGAGCACAGTCCTGGGGCCCTCCTTCCTTCCCTGTGCGCCTGCCCTGCCTCCTCATTCTCCGGCCTCCCCTCCACGAGGAACACGGAGCCATTGTTCCCGGGACCAGGCCCTGCCTCGGGGCCTGGCCCTGTGCCCAGGTGGGGGGCCGGGAACAGGACTCCACACAGCAGGGGCAGGCAGGCAGACGGGGTGCCCCCAGCTCCGGCAGCTCCTTGGCCTGCGCGCTGCCCCTCTGTCAGCCACTCTGTCAGCCGAAGACACTGAAGGAGGCTGACTCCCACAAGGTCGCATTCTGCCACTGGGAATCTGCACCACCAGAGCTAGGTGGGCACTGAAGTGGGAGAGTTCCACTCCATCCTCCACATTTCTGGAATGCTGTCCTGGGCACCCACCTCGGGCAACCTGGGTCCCCACCCTTCCCAAGGATGCTGGGGAGGGGGTGGCCCAGTGGCAAGCCTGGGCAGGGAACTGGACTGGAGGGACAGGTTGGACACCTCTGTGTCACCTCACTTCCCAGAATTCCTCCAGGGTCCCCCTTTTGTCCCTCTCTCCCATGTGGGGTCTCCGTGCAAAAGCCACACCCACCTGCCATTGTGGGGCCCAGGCCTGGGGGCTTCCTGACTTTCTTCCCCTGAGGCTCCTGGGGGAGGCTGGCCCTGCTGCAGGAATCGGCAGGTTGGGGCAGAACCTCCCACTCATAGGGCCCCTGCAAGGAGGATTTGGGGTGGCACAATTCCCCAGCTCAAGGCAGGGCTGGAAGGTGGCCTCCTGAGGATGGAGTTTCTGGGTCGAGTCTAGGACCTACACAGGAATACAGCAAAAGAACGCATTTGCCACCCAGAAGTGGAAAGCGACCTCTGTGTTGTTCAGGCTGGCCTCGGACTTGAGGCATTCCTCTCCTTCAGCCTTCTGCCTGCTGGAATGACAGGCGTGCACCACTGTGCCCTGCTGAACGTGGTCAAGGTATAATGACTGACGTATGTCCTCCCTGAGTCTCTCCCCTCAGGTGTCCTGGCCCTCTGGGCCTCTCTGCCAGCACCAGCTTGTGGGGATTTCCGGAGCCCCCAGCCCTCTGGGTCCCCTGACATTTGCCCCCACAAGGCCCCAGGCTGCAGCTCTACGGGGACCACAGCCACCCAGATCAGAGCTAGCCAAAATGGCCTATTGATTTTTGTGTCTTATCGGGAAAAGGGGGTGAGACCAGGGCCAGGGTAAGGCCAGGTCAAGTGGCCAAGTGGCCCAGGGAACACACAGGCATGTGCACACCTATTTGTTGATTTTACTGATGTCCACTGAGTACCAGCTGTGTGCTATGTGCAGTCTGGGCACTTGGAACACACGGGGAACGAGACAGAAAGAAATCTCCTGGGGCCAACATCTGCTGGGGGGGTTAGGATGCACATGGTCAGCAGTTATGTGAGTTTAAAATGCATAGTGTATTGAGAGCTAAGGGCTGGGGGATGGGAGGATGGGAGAGATAGGGTTGGGGTTAGGTGGAACAAATGCAGCTGAGGCAGGAGCAGACAGATATCTAGCAGGTGCCCAGAACAGCCAGTGCAAAGGCCCTGGGGCACATGTATACACTATTTGAGAAAAAGTGCAGAGCCCAGTTTGATGAGGGTCAGGAGAGGGGTATGGAGTGGAGGAAAATTTAAGTTTCCACTCTTGCTCCCCAACTTTCTAACTGGATGTTTCTGGCCAAGTGTTCGAACCTCTGTGAGCATCAGTTTCTTTATCTGTGACACAGCTCTGTTGGCCGTGGTTGCAAGGCTCAGAGATGCATTTCCAAGGCGGGTCAGGCACACATATCAGCCAGACCAGGTGCATGGGGGACCAGGTAAGGGATCCTGCCAAGGCAGCAGCCCCACAGGTCACCCTGGCTCACACGGAGGGCGCCTGCCGGGCCCCATGGCAACGCTGCACACAGAGACATCAAACAGGCCTGCCGAGGAAGTCCCACGTCACTGTGGTCAGGGTGGCCCCGCCCCACCCAGCCCTGGCTGGCGGCTGGCGCTGTCCCAGGCAGGGCCCCTGCCTCCCGTCACCCTGGTGACTGGCTGTGTTGTGGGCTGTACAGGATCCCCAAGTCCCTACCCCCGCGCCAGACACCACCACTGCCCACATCCGGGGAAGGACATGGTGGTGGCCTCGGCTACTGCCACTAACCTTCCCATCCAACTGCCACAAACGGGTGTCCTGAGCCATGGCCAAGACTGCCTCCTACCTAGGGTTCAGAGGGCTGGAAGGGACCAGGGATCTGCGGGGAAACCCCAGCCAGACACCTCATGTCTCTCCCCTAAAGACGGGACCCAGGGTCACCAGGGGCACAGAAACAGCCCCCACCCTGGGCCTGACTCAGCCAGCATGGATGACATCAAGGCCTGGCCGGCCACCGTGACCTGGCACCTCGCCAAAGCTGGGACAGGGGCCGCCCTAAAGTGTCCCATGGGCCTGGACTCTGCAGGGTTGGGTCCGGCATGTGGAGAGTTAAGGAGGAGCCCTTCTCGGGGTCTCCCCTCTTCATCCCATCCCCCCTTTTCCCGGGGATTTCGGGCCCCAGCCCCTCTGACGTCACTGGGATTGCTATGGCAACCGGTCGAAGTTCCCAAATAAAATTACCGCGGGCGGGTTAAGTTTCCTAGGACTCAGCCGCCGGGTAAACAATGGCGGTGCAGGCGGGGCAGCCGGGCTGTCTGCGTCCTTCACCCCAACTTTGTGAGGACCCGGGGGGACCTCCAGGCTCGCCCTTCCCTCCTAAGATCCGAGAATCCCGAAACCCTGAGGGCGCGGGCACACGACAGGGACAGCGAGGCCACCCTGAGCTGGGGGGTTGGCTAGGGGTCCCTGCAGGGAGCAGAGGGGAGACCCCAACACCCAGCTCGCTCGCCCCGCCCCCGGCCCAGCTGCGGCGGCTCCCAGCTGCCCGGCTCCCACATCTGGCGGCCTCGCACTTCCTGTCGCCTGGCGGCCTGGAGCAGGGTAAAAATAACCCGCACCCCCCCATTCCGCTGGCGTAGACGCGGAGCCTTGGCCGGGAAGGGCCAGGGGAAGGGGAGGTGTGAGCCCGAGCCTAGTATAAGGGAGAGGTCACTAGGCGCAGGGGAGACGGCACCATACGGTCCCGCTGCACCCCGGGGAAGAGAAGCTGCAGCCCTGGCAGGCCAGCTTCCAACGCAGTCACCCACTTAACTATTCAGACAAGTTCCAAAAAAAACCCTGGCCTCAATTTATCTGTCTGCAAAATGGGAGATGAGAAGTAGTACCCACTGCAACACACGTCTGCTCAGTCTGGGGTTGCACCTCAGTGGTGAGCACTTGCTTAGCTCCTGCAAGGCCCTGGACTCCATCCCCAGCACTACAAGAAACAAAAGAAAAATGCACTTATTCCATTTTTATCTTTTCTCCATCCCAGGGGACCCCTGAGAATCCCTCCAAGTGCAGTTACCACATTAAATACAGAACCGGGGGCCGGGGGTTTAGCTCAGTGGTTCTGCCGCCTGCCTCACAAGTACAAGGACCCAAGTTCGATCCCCGGTACCAAAATAAATAAATAAATACAGAACCAGGCTGGGCATGATAGTGCATGCCTGTAATCCTAGCATTCAGGAGGCTGAGGCAGGAGGATTGCCTCAAGTTTGACTTCAGCCTAGGCTACATAGTGAGGTCCTGTCTCAAAAAAACCAAAACCAAACAAACGAGAAAGCCACTTCCATTTTAAAGAGGTCTTTAAAAGTATAAATGATTCTCATGCAATATTTGGAGCAATGATAATTTTAAAATTCTTTTACTAAAAAAGGGTACTTGTTCTGCATCTGAAATTTAAATTTATCTGAGGCCAGGGATTTAGCTCAATGGTTCCACTGCCTGCCTTGCAAGCGCATGGTCAAGTTCCATCCCGGGTAGCTAAATAAATAATAAATCTGGATGCCCTTTTTTTTTCTTTTTGGTTAAATCTGTCAACCATACCCCACGACCCCATCCTCTCTCCACCAGCCACGCTGCTTGGGTCACCCCTTGGCCCTTCTGCCTTTCCATAGTCTCTAGAGGAGGTCTCCTCCCATCCTCCCAGAGCCTCCATAGTTCCCACCTATTTCTGCTTCTTCTTCTTTTTTTTTTTTTTTTTTGGTACTAGGGATCATACTCAGGACCTTGTGCTTTCAAGGCAGGCAGCAGAACCACTGAACTAAATCCCCAGCCCTGTTTCTGTTTCTTTATGCTCACTTTTGCCATCCAAACTCCTGACTGCCCTCCCAGAATGCTTTTAACTTTCTTCAGATTTTTTCTGATACCAGGATTCATCATCAGCCCTTTAAAAAATTTTATGTTACACACACACACACACACACACACACACACACACACACACTTATATATCCCCCAGATAGGGTGTCCCTAGTCACTAAATTTCCTGAGCTAGGATCCTGAACTTGAGATCCTCCTGCCTCAGCCTCCCAAATTGCTGGGATTACAGGTGTGGGCCACTACATTGGACAGAGAATTCTCCAAGAATCCTTCCACAGCTCCCCACTGTGCCCTCTGCCTTGTGATTCTTCAGGAACCCAATACACCTTTTTCTTACCTCCTACATTTGCGTGACTGATTCCATGATTTGAGTATATGGAACTTTTGGGGGGCATTGGTGGGGATGGAATCTCAGTCTTCCAGCAGACTAAGTATGCACTGTATCAGTGAGAGGCACCTGAGCACCTGAAACATTTCATTTCTTTTCTTCTTGTTTTGCTTTTTGGTTTATTTCACTTTGCTATGTAGCTCAGGCTGGCCTGGTTCTGTGTAGCCCATGCTGGCCTTAAATTAATGGAGATCCTCCTGCTTCAGCCTCCTCCCACACCCTGCTTGCCTTTTTTTTTGTACCGGGGATTGAACTCTTGAGCTTGTGAGGCAGGCAGCGGCACCACTGAGCTAAATCCCTGCTTGCATTTCTGAAACATTCCAGAGGCACTCTAGTGCAGTGGACACCAGGTGAGTGGGACCGTCGGGGGTGCGGGGACAACCTGAGTAAGGCCCCAGCCCTTGGGGACCTGAGGGGCACAGCAGTCAGAAAGGGGTTGGTGTGGCTGGAGGGAACAGCCTTCAGCAGCCTGTGTCCAAGCCCCAAGGAGGCCCAGGCCCGCAGGCCTTCCCACCCAAGCTCCAGGGTGGGTTTGACATACCTGGTCTCTGGGAAGAAGCCTCTCATACCTGACTGCCACCAGGAGAGGATGCGCCCTTAGAGAGGAACTTGGGTGTCCGAGTCACCCTGCCCTGGGCTTGGCCTCCTCTGTCAGAGAAGTTGACATTCTGTGACTCAGTTTCCCTATCTGGGACCCATTCGAGGGCTCTGGCAAACACAAAATCCATGACATAAGATTCACAGGTGCGAGAACAGGGTTTGGAACATAGACTTACTCATTAAATATTAGCTACTTTGGTGGTGGGGGGCCGTTCAGGCCACACAGCAAAAAGCCAAAGATCACCGTTACCATGACATCCAGCTCTCCTGATCCCCCTGTTCCAGCCCCAGGCTGCTCCCCAAATCCATCTAGGGAAATGGCGTAGATTTGAATCCCTCGTCTGGGGATTCCGCCTGTGCTCAGCCTAGCGGGAGGGACTCGAACCCAGGTCCGAGGCAGCGCCCCGTAGCCAGGCAACGCGCTGTTTGTTGTCGGGGGCGGGGCGTCGGTGACTCAGCGCGGCCTGACGGCGGGGCGG